CCAAAACGCAGGCAGGATTCCCCACAGAGGCTGTGGAGCGCCTTTGCATTTCGGGTGTTATGGCGTACGCGCCTCCCTTCACCTTTCAACCTCATTTTCTGCTGCTTCCTTCGGGCTGACGGGAAGGTGAGAGCCAGTGATGGTCACTGCAGTCAGGAAGCTTCCCAGGTGGAGAGCCTCGCGCCTGCTCCAGGCAGTTGTTGGTGGAAGGACCTTCTCCTGAGGACGCACTGCTTCTGCAGCCAGGGGCGTTGGGAATACCCACTGTCACCTGCTAATGCTCACTTAAATCCAGTGAAGGTGCAGTTCTCACGTGTGTTTCCCTGGGCTGTCCCTGGTCACACGGTGGCTGTGCTCTGCTGCCTCAGAGATGCTCTCCTGCCTCTCTGCCTCCAGCAGTTATGCATGAAAACAAGCCATTTTCGGTTTAGAGACATACTCAAGGCTGTTTAGAAAAAAAGGAAATAACTCCGGTGTGCAAGGCTGCATGTTTATAGATTAAACATCTCGAAACATTTTGTCTGACAGGATGCGTTAAAGTTTCCGTGCAGGCCCTGTTATCTGCATCAGACAGTGACGGGGAATCGAAGATTGGGTTGGGCTCTGGCGGCATCCGCTGGCACTGGAGCGGGGATATGCAGGAGGACGTGACACTTGCGCCTCGAGTGCACAGTCGTGCTCTCGGCTAAACATGGGACTTGCCCCTTGATGTGAGTCACAGACCTTTGTCCAGGTGTGAGCCACACGGCTCTGTTGATGGGAGCCCAGTTATTCTTAATATTGTGTTTGAAAATGTCACGTGCAGACGATGCCATTTTAAAGGCAACATTTACTACCGATAACATCACAGCATCTTGGAAATGATGGCATTTGAAGTGACTGGACAGGACTCTGCATCACCTGGGTTTGCGTGCAAATGCCTGTTCAGTTATGGCTCAGCATCTTCTCCAGGGTTGTGGCCAGGCAGATGTTGAGATACGTGTTGCAGAGCTGCAAAGTGTGCCAGCCGTCGGGACACAGCCATGCTTCGCTTCGCTTTGCTGGGCGTTTCTGCTGCAACTGTGGGAGGAATTTTACTGTAGAAAATGTGGTCAAATTTCAGAGCGAAGGAAGTGGGAATCGCGTTAGTTCGGTTGTCAGACTGATGGAAAACAAAGGGAGTGTAAGGAATACACAGCGTGTTGTATTAGCCTGGTGGATTGCTCGATGAATTCATCCTGCTCGATGGGGAGGCGCGGACTGCAGGAGCCACGCAGATGGCAGCTTATCTGCGTTACCTCTTTGGGGTTGGTTTTCAGAGTAAGAAGTTGTGGGCAGCGGGGGCGGCACTTGTGCCTTGGCTCCGCCTGGGCAGCGTGTGCGTCTGCTGCCACGGTGGAGACTTCCGCTGTGGCTTCTGAGAAGCAGCTGACTTTTCTCTTATCCATGATTGCCCTTGGTTTTCTGGGTGTGTTGTGAAATCTAGGCTGTTCAGTGGAATCAAGTATCGACAAACAAGTTGCCAGGGTTGCAAAATTGCAATTCCTATTCTACGGGCAGATTTACTGGTGGCAGGAGCTCCGGTTCCTTAAAGAACAGTAAAGGTCTCCCATAGCCAGAAGAGAGACGCCGAGTTTGCTATTTTTCTGAAAAAACAGTAAAGCTCTCCCTGTAGTGGTGAGGGAGATACTGAGGTTGTTTTTTCTCTCCCCTGAAAACCGCTGTGCTCCTTCATGACCTTGGCCTTCAAGCCGAGCTCCGGGGCTGGAATCTGCCCGGTGCCGCAGTTGTGTCTGCCCGCGCCGCGCTATCTCCCCGCTTGGGTTCCCCAGGCAGCGTGTGACACTCGACATATATTGTGCAAACTGTGCAGGCGTATTCTGGAGCCCTCCCCAGAGCCCCCCTGGTCCCTTGTGCGGGGATGGCGGAGCTGCAAAGGCTGCTGGCGGCTGGGACCCCGCGGGGGCGGCAGTCTGGGGCTCTGCCCAGAAACCTGCCAGCCCATCGCGCCCCTGCAGCACCCCCCGGGGCATCCTTTTAGCTCGTGGCAGTGTCATTACTTATGTATTTGACAACACCCTTAAAAAGTCTCTTAGAAACTGGGAAATAGATTGTTAAGGGCACCATTGTCACAGCTTGCTCCGAGTTGCCTGCATTTTTCCTTATGTTTTTCTTTCAATTTTCCATCTAAAAATAAATAAAGAAAAGGCAAATTGGCACCTTTGTGAAATTCAGGGTGTTCTTGGGCTCTGCGGACAGCGCGGGAGCAGCCTGGCATCGCATTGCGCCGGCGCTCGGGGCTCAGCCCGCGGCTGCCTCATCCCTCTCCTGCCCCTATGGGCCGAGCGCTGGCCCGGGCAAACCGCGAAGGCAGAGCCTGACTTGGAGCCAGGATGAGCCCTGGTCATTGCCACCTCCCTCTGGTTTCCACCCGTCAGCGGGGGCGAGACCAGCTGAGCACAAGGGTGGTTGTGGGGAGAGCCCGAGCGCTGCTGGAGCTCTGCTCGTGCCCGTGGTGGGTGCACGTGTCCAGGTACACCAGGTACACACGTGCAGGAAGGTGTGTTTGTACTTGCACAACTCTTCTCCTGCACAAACAGCTATTTAAAGAGCTGCCTAAAAAGCCATTAGAGCCTTAACTGCTAAGGTGCCTTGCAGCTTTAAATAATTGAGCCTCAAAAATACTCCAGGGTCTTCTGGGGTCCTTCTGCCTTCACAACAGCTGCTACTCTGAGAGCTGCTTTTGCTCATTTCTCATATATTTCTCATTTCTCAAATAATGGGGAAAGCACAGTATGGAAAGCCTTATAGAAGAAGATAAATTGGCCCTTTTCAGATTTCTGATTGCACAGAGAGGAGAAAAAAAGGTGACAGGTCATTAGAGGAAAGGTCTGGTTCTGATGGAATCTAAAAAAATTGCTGGGTAAATAAGGCATTTTTAGCAAAGCTTTTATACGTGCTGCTGGTTATTTCTGAGCAGTGTCTGCTCTCCAGCAGCACCTCAGACTGAGAGCCTGGACGGAGGGGGGCACGGGGACAAGCAGGGGGACTCTGGCCCTACTGGAATTTGAGATTGTCAGGGAGGGACAGTTGAGCAGCATCTACAAGTGAGTCACTCGTTCCGATTGCAGCTGCTAAAAAGATGAGAAATCACTCAAAACATTTCTTGCCTCAAGAACAGAGGATAAAATCGCTGCTCCAGTTACTAACCTACAATTTAGGTAGGACCTGCATAGCTCTCCTGTGAGGAATGGAAGAGAGCAGCGTTCCTGAAGGACGCAGCTGACAGGGAGATCAGAGGAGAGAGGGGAGCCTGGGGTTTGGTCTCACCAGCAATTGTCCCACTTCATGCTTCACCCCCAAGGTGTGAGGGGCTCCAGCAAAGGGCCCTGCCTGGTAAGAGAGTTGGTCTTTGGGCGAAGTTGAGCATCCCGGCTAGTTGTTCACATAACAACAGCAACAGTCCCTTAGGTCCTGTCTGCACCGGAAAGTATTTTTCACAGCCTATGGATGAGGTAAACCAGTCCAATGTTTGCTCCTCTTGTGTTCCTGAGGAAACACTTTTTCTCATTTAAAACCTCTCTGTCCTCAGTTTACTTTTTATCTCCTGGGAAGCAGAACAAAAGGGAATGGACAGTCTTCATGAAGGAAGCTACTCCTGTTCCCAAAATTAAAATATCTGAGCAAAGGATGGTTTTTTTGCAGCTGCCCCTGCACAAGTGCATCGTCGTCCTTTCCGTCGCTCTCCCCAGTTGCGATGGTTCTGGAAGCTCTTGCCCCGCCTGTGGGTTTAAGTGCCAGGGCAGCAATGCCAGCTGACCTGCTGACTGCTGGAAGCTAATTGCCTCAGCCGGTGCTCTGACGAAGAGCGAGTCCGAGCACACACTTTCAGACGCTGTTACTCCCCACGCTGCCCGGCCAGGCCTCGACGTGCCGGTCCGGTTGATGGGCACCTCTGCGGCTGCCGCGCCTTCCCAATGCGCGGCTCTCCACGGGTCTGACGGAAGGGACGCGTGGCGACGTGTGTCGGGCCAGGAGCGGGGGTCTGGGCATGAGGAGCACGAGGAGAACGTGGCCAGAGCAGAGGGTGTGGAGCTCTGCTCCCCAGCACCCGGGCATTGTCGTGTCCTCTCGTCCTGCTGGGCACCTGCTGGGTCGTGCCGGGGCTGCGGGAGGCTCCTTGTGCTTCCCTGGCAGAACTTGGAAGAGATTCGTGCCCAAACGTGGGGATGGAGTTAAGCAGCAAAGGTGGCCCCAGGTCTTTGTGGAAATGCGTGCTCTGCCCTTGGGCAGGGACCACGGTGGCACTGTCCCAGCATACCCCATGTGACAGTGCTTTTGGTCCTGGGGTGGGCATAAACAAATTGTACTGGGACACGTTCATGGCAAATGGTTTATGTCTTCACTGGAGGCTTCTGGCTGGATTTAGTCGTCATGTGGGTGAGCAACGCATGAACGAAGGTTCAGTCCAGCTGTTGTGGGATGTTGAATGAGGATATAGGTAGAAAACAAGCAAGACAAAAAAGGAAGAAGAAAAGGATAGCTTAAGGGAGTTTGATAGCTTAGGAAAAACTAATTTGTTTAAATTAAGCATCGAGAGGATGCATTGATCTGTAGTGAAGTGACAACGATGACCTTAACAAAGTAAGATCTCCTAGCTTAGTGAGCATGTAGAGTCTGTTTTTGGTGTACGAACCTCTCTTGGAGCCCAAATCGTGAACACTGCAACGGGCAGTCCCGATCGTCTTCTCTCTCTAGGCTGTGCTGTCACAGCGCCGGTACTTTGTCACACATTGTCACGCCTTGTACCCAGGGGCAGTGTCAGGAGGGACAGCCCAGCATGTTCTTCTGCGTGGTCAGAGCAAGCTTTGGCTTAGTCGTGATCTACCTCCTTTCTGATCTATGCTTGGCTTGTCCCATCGCTGACATTTTGGATTTTGCCACCCGCTGCGCTCGCCCGCAGCGCGCCCCCGCCTCGTTTGCTGACCCTTCCCTTGTTCTCTTTCTGTTTCACGCTGCAGGTTGGAGACGGGTCGTGACCATGTCTTGCCCATTGACTATTACTTCCCACCTCAGAAGACTTGCCTGATCTGTGGAGATGAAGCGTCTGGGTGCCACTATGGAGCCCTCACTTGTGGCAGCTGCAAAGTCTTCTTCAAGCGGGCGGCTGAAGGTAACGCGCGCCGAGAGAGGAGGGCAAATCACTCGCACCTCCAGGCGTTGGCTTTCTCTGCCAAAGAGGCCTGAGAGTCCAGTGCTACTGAGCAGTTCTGTCATGGGCAGTCGAGTCATTAATGCGAAACTGCTGGAGGCATTTGCAGCCTCACGTTCTCCTCCCTTTGAAAGAGGTTAAGCAGCCTTGCTCTGGGGAGCCTGCCAAGCCAAGGGGACTGAGGCAATAGTCACCGGGACAAAGTGTGGTGGGTTTCTAAGGTCTCTTGAACTAGTACAGGAGAAAATTCAAGGATAAATTGATTTCTTTGTCCTGTGTTTGTCATTCAAAAAGTAGCCAACCCAGTTTGCCAAAACACAATCCATTTCAAAGCCCGACTATCTTAGTGAGCCAGAGGGACCCTGGAGCAGTCAGTTCCTGCTGCTCCTCTTGGCTCTCGAGGGTGCTTTAAGTGTCCGTCGGCCCTCCTGCTGTCTCAGACCCACAGCTCCAAGTTTAGGGATACTCCTCCACTCTTGCATCCTTTTCAGAGGGTCACTTCTCTCAGTACCTGCAAACCGGCAGAACCGTCTGTCCATCAGGAGCCGTGCTCTCGTCTTGGTGTCGGTGGTCCTTCTCCCCAACCCCTGGGAGGGAGACACTGTGCTCCTCAGCGGGCTCCC